ACGTATCGTTCCGGACAAAAATATATTCATGATGATAATACCTTATTGTTAGTAACCATAAAGGTAGTATCCTGATAGTAACAATAATAATAATCGTAATAATAATGATAATAACGGCAGAAACAGTAACAATAATAATATATAACATGTAAGAGTGATCTCCTTAGTGATCACAACCACAATGCCGAATTATAATACACGGAATTGAACAATACATGTAGCTATCGCCAGTTATTACTGATACCGTGAAATAATCATTAATTGCAAGGAAAGAAACGAAAGTTATTATAACGTGAAACGAAAATATTTTTTTGTGCAAAATTCATCAAGAACATCAAAAGATATTTCCCAGAAACGTTCCATTTTTCTGGTTATACCGAAAAAAGTTTTCCAGGAGCCGTCATAATCTTTACGGGTTTGTTCTCGGTGGCATTCCTCGGCTCACATTTGCAAGGCTTTAGATGGCTCGGAATGGGTTTCGTCACTGCCGGTCTTGTGGTGGTGGGGGTTACGGATATCGTTTTCGACGATAATCCGAAAGATGACACTAACGGCATCATAACGGGTAAGCATTTTGGTCGCTTATCTTTCAGCTTTTTCCGAAGTTATGACGAATCGATGAAATTCACTTTGAACTTTCATATTTCTTCTCAAAACTCATATCTTACGATTTAATTTCGAATCAATTTCATTCTCAAGCACCCGTTCTGTCGACTGTAATTTTCACAAATTAATTCGATCAGTTCAGGTGATCTCCTCATAATAATGGCACAAATTGTTGTCGCCATGCAAATGGTCATCGAGCAGAAATTCTTGATGCAATACGACGTGCCGCCTTTACTGGCAGTTGGCTTAGAAGGTGCACCAATTCAGCTCAAAAATTCTCTTGAGGAATTACTTCCCCTTTCGAAAATTTCGAATATTTCAGTTCATAACTAACCACTTTTTTAAAACTCGCCATTTGATCGCTTCAATACCATCCAAAAAATATTATCATGAAGAATCATTTCAACAAATCTTCAGATGCATAACAGTTTCGCATTTTTCAAAAATTTCCGCCAAACTTTGGCCTTATAAAAGTTTTTTGCTCAAGATTCATTCAGAATCATTGTAATAATACATCGAGTATCTGACTATATGATGGTTACAGGCCTATTCGGTATGGTTATCCTAACTGCTCTACTAATTCCAATGTATTTCATTCACGTTCCAACCGCATTTTCAACCAATCCAGAACATCGTCTTGAGGATATTTTCGACGCATTTCATGAAATTTATGATGATCCTTACATTAGTCTCGCACTTGGACTCACTATTGTTAGGTCAGTTCAATCACACATTCATTTTGCTCATTTACGCTCAATTCATGTATATTTCATTCCTTGCAATTCTTAAATGAATTTTGCTTATTCAGTATCGCATTCTTCAATTTTGCGGGTATATCAGTAACCAAAGAGCTCTCGGCTACAACGCGTATGGTATTGGACAGTGTGAGAACGTTGGTTATCTGGGTTGTCTCAATACCGCTGTTTGGACAGAAATTTATCGCTTTGCAGGTTATTTTTATAGACTACTCCAAATGTATAGAAAAGCGATCATATCAACATTACTGCTGTCGTAATAAACTTACCAATATTCACTCATCAAAGCGGTGTCTTAAGTAGGAGATCAACTAATGACATGAAATTATCAGTTTGACCGTTCAACATAATGTCACGAAATTGTCATTAAGTTTCCTTATTTCTTTCTCGTATATTTCCCAATCAACTTATTGATGATTGCAAAACAGCAATACTTTTGCCCGATCAGTACTGAACTTTGATTCATTCATGTATGAGATTGTACTATTTCTAAATTTTTGGTGGTTGCAGTTATTCGGTTTCGCACTTCTCATTTTGGGTATGTTCGTATATAACGATCTCATTTTTGGTCCGTATTTCCGTCAGAAGGTTAGTCGTCTGCAATATTTTCATATCATTAAATCCTACATTTCCGTTTCATTTTTGTTCAGTTTTCCTCATCTCCAAGCTACTCTTCTTTATTCTCGTATTATCTGAAAGATCTGAGTAAGTCTAAATGTAATTTATCTGAGTCGTTCGTTTGCAGATTCTGCCAAAACTCGGCGATGGACGAACCGCAGGTTGTTGCCTGTCCTTCTGGAGTTTAGACGTGCCAGTAGCTGATGATCGCGATTCATTGATCGATGAACACAATGATCCGAATAATTGAAAGTTGAACTTACTTCGAACTAGAATGAAGGGATTTGCAGCCTATCCGCTGACTGGATTCCCAACTTTCGAGCTTACTGTCAACGATTTTTCAATTTTCGCTATCTATGTTTTGATCCACATTCTCCAGTCATTCGTCTCGCCTCACCTGAATATCCTATTGATTAATCTATTTATAGACTTTTAAATATCAACGAAATGCATGCACTATCATAATGAACTTTTATTGAACTGATAACGTCATTGATAATATCATGTTGTTGTTGAACAAATAACTTGATGATGATAATAATAGTAATCTTATTTTGTTTGGCTTATTAGTACAATTGTTTTAAATCTCAATCTAATATGTATAAGCTTATTTCACTTTCCATCTGCTGGTATTTTGTATCATATTTAATACTAATCATTCAATAGCAATAACATCAATGCTGATAATGATAGTGATAATTTCTACGGGATTCATTAACTTGACATTTTTTTGGTTGGGATGATCGCTGCTTTCTGCGGGGTTTACTATTAAACTTTTCAGTTTCTTTTCACATTGAAATTTCCTGATCATTTTTGTCTCCTTTAATACCCCCATTGAACTTCATTCGTTTTTTGATGGTTTCCTTTTTCTATATATTACGTCTCTAATGACTTCAACTTAATCTTGTACATATGTGATCATAGTCAAAAAAATAATCCATTTCTTGCATTTGATTTCCAACTTTTACAAGAAATTTATTGAATTTCTTTCCCCAAATGTTTTCATTCAATTCTCAATCCACTAACATCAAATGCATCACTTCTGGTAGTTAATTTTTTCTGTTGTTCGTTCGTTTCTTAATTACGTTTAAAATGCTGATTCTATCATTTGATACAGTCGCGTTCATGAATAATATCTTCTCATAACGACATGTATGGCTATTCCCTAGGGTTATGTATAACGTTTGTCGGGGAGCACTTTCTGGTTGGGATGGGAGACGGGATCCTATCGGAGAGTAAACTGTCTTCGGAGGAGCTGAGAGATCCCATCCAAAATGTCCAGCTAGAGAGGTGTCGTAGAACAGTTTACTGTCGTAGAATACTACTTACGATAAATTTGCACTGAATTTATTCCGTTCACTCAGTACTTACATATATCCATTGATTCAGTGTTTTGATGGTTTATTTGTTTATGTATTTATTATCCTTACATATTTTCCAAATGTCTATGAAATTTTTCAGTTTGAAATACGAAATTTCATTCGTTTACGATATTGTTCGTTCATTTATTTGTTTGTTTGTTCATAATTTTCATTTCATTTTAATTTTTTTTAAAACTTACTAAGCCAGATTTTCGTATACGCGTACACGCTCGATGATTGTTCGTGCGTTGTTTTGTCGTGCTTGAATATATTTTTCATTTCAGACGTTCCCTTCGTGAATAAAGTTTTTCAATCAGTATTAATATCAGTCCATTTCAACTCAGAAAATGACACCATCATCCAAATTCATCATCTGGTGCGGCACCACATTATGCATTTAGTCACCTGATACGATGCCATATTACAAGTTAACCTACAGTACAAAAGCATCGCAACAGAGTCGATAAATGACAATAACAATAGCTGTCGATTCATGATGAATATTAACCGACTACATAGTGCCCACTGTGATGTCAGTGCTTTGGGTGATTACGTTCGAATTTGGAAGCAATTTGGGAAAAACAATTAAGGTGGAAGTTTCGTCATGACACGAGTAATCGTGCACATTAATGGGTCAGGGCAAAGTGAATAGGGGGTCATTTATTTCTCAGGATACACCATAAGAATCTAAGAACCCAAAGCAAAATCAGAAAAAAGATTCAGAAACAAAATGTGAAAAGTTTCCTGAACAGGATTCCAACCATGGTCGCTGGTGTTAGAACACGACACTCTACCACTACGCCACTACACACTCTTATCACGTATTTGCTTTGTAGTAGACAAACATGGATTCTGAAAAAAACTGCCATTCTTCACTACTTCGCCCCAAATTATATGGTTTTTTCATGAAGGGGATTTAGCACAGTCCGAATATCGGATTATAAAAAAGTAGACATAAAAATGAAGAAAATCGGCAATATGAAATCAAAAGTGCCACAAAATAATCCCAGACCTAAATCCAAGCTGAGGTTCGAACCCCTAGCTGACCTGCAGAACCATACTGCGCTGCCACTACGCCAAGCTGCACTTAGCACTCACCCCTGCAACGGAATAGATAAAAATGGATTCTGAAATAAAATTCATTTTCTCCCTTTTCCTTTCCTCCGAATATCACAATTTTTTTAAAAGTAAATCTAGGACAGTTTCAAGTTCTGGTTATTTCAAAAAATGCAAGAAAATGAAATAAAACTGACAATTCATAACTAACAAATTGACAATTCGAAGTCAAAAACTCACAAAATCATTCCGATGAGACAATCCAAACTGAAGTTAAAACTGCGGTCTGTCACGCAAAAACGTTTGACACCAGCAGCATCAACAATAAGCTTTGACACATCTAACGGCTGCAAATTCTACGAAATAAACATGAACATATTTTTGAAGAATTCTCCTCCCTTCTTTCAATTGAGTGATTTTCAAAAGAAAATCGCACCTAAAAGAATTTCAACATCACATAACGAAATGAATGGATGAAAACGAAATAAACCTGACCCTTTGACGTCGAAAGCAGCGCAAGCTCGTTGCCAGCATCTGACGCATACCTCTATAGTAACATTCATCGATATTGATATTGATTTTCGAGGTCTATGTTGATATCTGTTCAATGGATCCATAATTTAACACTTCAATCCGAAGGGTTCACTGAAATTCAACATTACCCATGAAGACAACCAAGGAAACTAAGGATCAGTATTTTCAGGTCAATGAAATACCGCCCTTCCACCTGTAGCGCTCAGCCTTTCCGCCTATGGCGTTAGGCCATCAAAACAAGTTCAATCACCATTTACAGCAGCTCATTAATCAAAAATGAATAAGCTAATCGTTTGAAAGAGAAAGATTCATCTTTAAAGATTTATCCATACCAAAAAAAAGACTTATCGCATAGTTCGTAATCTCGCGCCTACAAAGACATCGAAATAGAGGATTGTGTGTAACAACTGACCTTGAAGTTGACTGAGGGACGTTCCTGCTTTCATTCAAATCTCCCAAACATCGTATTCAAATGAGACCTGAATACTTTCTACATCGCTACCGTCATAGAACTGACCAGTATATGGAAAACTGATTTTAAAATAGACCAATTCCTACGAAGACATTACTTCGATGGATACAGGGTAGTAACAAGCGAGCTGAGAAATTGAACGGATTAATGGAACAATTTCGATTTCATGACAACAAAGAGAAATAAATGGGTGAATGAATAGGTTTATGCAAGAGAATGATAACCTGTCAGATTGCTTCGACGATCGCTCAGAAGTTCTTCGAAGCTCACGCGACTCGTCGGCGAATCCGCAACACTGTCCATTCCTCCGCTGTGATCCACCGTCCCCGATCCACGCGATCTGAAATCAAAGAGATTAGACGTTGAAAAGAGAAAACTGGTTAATGGGACAGTATTGTGCAGGTCCACGACGATTAGTCGTGGACGCATCAGTGATCCTTCGGCTCACCACGCCGTCGGATCTCATCCAACGGAATCTCGCCGTTGGATGAAATGC